CTCGAACTATCTCTTTTAACGTATTGATCGGTTAAACACTCCATTCAAAGTGTTTTAATGTATAACGTATAAAACCCGTTTCACTTTTTATGTGAATATATTTAATATAAAACTAATTTAAATCCCGCCTTCACATAGTCTATTCGAAGTCAGAAAGTAGATAACATACACTGGAACGTATATATCTTTTTTCTGAGAGATAAAGGAAATCAATTTAAACTTTTCCAGTAGGTTAATTTGTAGAAGTTAAAGGATAAATTAGATGAAACAGACTAATACTTTAAAATAATATAGGCCTAAACGTGAAAAACCGGATTGGAGAAGTCAGGCTACGTGCAATATCGGCAGTATGAAGGGCATTTTAGAAGGTCAGAGAGATAAATCCCCTGCTCATTTACGTTTATATGAGGGATTATGTGCTGTGAATGTCAATGATTTATCGTGGAATGATCCATTGGTTAACAATATAATCGATCTTGGATCTTCCCAATTTTCACTAGAAAGAGAGGAACAAAGCCTTCTTGTGGTATGTATTTTATATTACGCAATAACTTTTTGTGTGGGATCCATACACTATTAAAGAATTTCAATATTACGTGACTAGGGTGAAAGAGCCTCTATAAGGGGGCTAAACAAAGAAGCTTCAATAAGAAAATTGTGTACTAATTTTGTTGTTAAAAGAAATGAAATCCAACAGCGTTACAGGTTTATGATAATGCCATCCGAAAAAGTGACTCATGGCCGTTGGGTTGAGCAGGACTACGAAAGAGACCAAGTGGGAAAAAATATAACAGATCTTCTCTTGCTGAAAATAAGATCAAATGTTCTTCGTCGAGTTTCAGATGGGTCAGAAAATTCTCTTGTCGAAACTATGGCCCATTTAATCGAAGCCTCTTTGTATCAGTACCAATCGAATATGACGTTGAGGTAATTAGAGGCGAGCGACAGAGTATTGCTAGTAAGAACCAAAAGGTATTAGAGGAAATTAGTTCAAGAGGAGATAGACCAGATCTTATGATACGAGCATCTTTGAAACGGAAACAGAATGAGATTGTATATATTGAGAGTGGGAAGTGGGCGTCTACTGACCAGAAAATCCGTGATGATCATAATAAGCTTGCGAGACTCTGCTCACATGGATATAACGAGATCGTAAAGGGGAAAAGATTACGAAAGGTTTATATTGCATTTGGTATTAATATTGCAGGTAATTGTAATGATTATTGTATTGCTAAATATACTTGCTTTCTATTCAATCGTTAATTTTTCAATAAATGTAGGTAGCAATTTCATACTTAGTGGATTAATACAAGAAGAAAGTATAAAATATTACATGCCTATCATCAAAGCAAAAATCCCTTTTCATGATGAGTCGGTTGAAGAGGTAGAAGAATTTGTCCATTCGCTGATGACCTTGCGGGTAAGAAGTTCTTGAAGACAAAACTATTATAGAGTAATGACGTTTTTTTTGTACCTAATTACATCACATATTCTAAAAAATTCTACATTATCTTAGAATGGGATAATCGTGAATTTACATAACCTCAATCAGTAAAGAGTTACGCATTTTTTATCATTCGGATATTACTCGACATATATTCCATTAATAAAGCCGTACATAGAAATATCTGAAAAAATAATCCAATTAATTCCTAATGCTATTACTGAGTTTGCCCCACGCGATATAAAATATAGAGGTAGAGAATCCTTATCCTCACACATGAAATTCCAAACACCACGAAGCGAGTTCCATCAAAGATTACGTAAAAATGATTTCTCCCCCTAATATGCTGATAGTTCGTATAGATCAGAAAACTGTATATGAAAAATTACCAATAATTATCTGGAGGTTGATAAACGCCTAATTACCCATTCTCCGCTACTAAATAAAATTATTTGTAAACCATGCTGAATGATTAGGATTAATCCCGCCAATCTCTCTGATATAATTACTGAGCGCAGAAATAAGATTTGTTCTATCTAATGATGAACCTGCAAAGATTGGAATAGGTGAAGGTAGTTCTTCTAGATTCTGTTCATTATCATCATCGGGGTCAGAAGTATCGGAATCAGATTCGGAATCAGACTGCTCATACGATGAATCGTAATTTTCGATATTTATATTTGGATTAAGTCGTTTTACAACTTTTTTACTAACATTTTTTTCACAACTATCCAAATCAAGATATTTTAAATTGGGACACGAACGGGTTATTTCTTCAATGGTTGTATTGGAAATGTCACAAAATCTAAGTTCAAGATGCTGAAGTTTAGGACAAGAGCGAATAACATTGCATATCGATGGTTCGGTAATGAATCCACACCCTCCAAGATCAAGATATTCTAATTCGTGGCATGTGTGGGCTAGTGCTTCAACAACCTCATCTCCGATATCGTTGCCAGAAATATCAAAATGTTTTAAATTTGGAGAAGACCTGATAATAGCTACAATAAAAGAATCGTTTCGAAAAGCCATAACCCCGGCGAAATCGAGATATTCTATTTTGAGATTTTTTTGCATTAACATATTAGCATCCTTGATTTTTCCACGGCTAAATGCAATATCAAGAGATCGCAAATTAGGGCATAGGTTTATAATCTGACTTATTGATCTATCAGTAATCCAATATGCTTCACTGAAGTAAAATTCTTGCAAATTACGACATGATTCAGCAATTGTCATTAATGATTTATCGGTAATACTTCTACAGTAAGAAATATTTAGATATTCTAATTTATTGCATGTTTGCGCAATCTCACATAACCCTTTATCAGATATCATTTGATTATCCCATAAATTAAGGTGTTTTAAATTCGGGTATGAAGAAGTTATTTTAATTAATGTCTCATCACTAATACCCACGCTATTTTTAAAGTCTAAATAAATTATATTTGGGCAGTAATTTATGATAGATCTAATTAATTTGTGTGTAATTGAATGACAATATGAAATTCTTAAGTTTTTCAAGTTTGAGGCATAAATTGGTTTTTTCTCCCCGCATATTATTTTTACGAAATTTTCTAACCGTATTCGATATCGTTCACAATATTTATATTCATCTGGAAAATAATGCCCATAATGGATATCATTACCTTTTAACTCAATTCTTCTCCATAGTAATGGCACACCGCAGTGATACCAAAGACGGTTAACAAATAAAGCAGAATAGAGGAATCGATCAATTTCCAAATAATATAAGATCTGTTCTAGCAATTCTGGTAAATCAAAAATATTTGGTTGCGTCATTCTTAAGTTAAATATTATCTATCTTTAATCAAAAAATAACTAAATGTTCAGATAAGTAATTTAGACGCATATACCATTTTATTTTTTCTGATATTCTCAACCACACTTAACTTTGCAACCAGCTCATCTAATGATAGGTCTGTTCCGCATATTCTGGCTTCCATCTGGTTATCAGAATTTAATCCACGAAGGAATTGATGTTTAAGATGTTCTTCATCATATCCAAGCGAGTCATTACATTTTTTTACTTTTGCAAAATACTCCATTACTGAATCATTTCCTTGCTCCAATTCCCCAAATCGGAATTTTTGAATATTGGTAGGCCCGGTTGAGATAAATTTTAAATGCTCAATTATATTATTTATAGGCTCCTTAATCCCAAATCGGATCGCATTTATTTGATTCTCCGGTGACAAATCATTGATAAATTTTTCTATAATATCACGATTAGCACCAGAATCTAATATGGATGTAAATGGTACTTTATTTATTTTGCAGGATAAAGTTATCATTGTGATGCTTTATTATAATTATATATTTAATAATATATTTTTACTCGTATTAATAATAAATCAATTTAAATCCAATGGTTAAAAATAGCTGTGAAACAGTTGCCTCCGGCAATAATACCTCGAAACTAGTATCTAAAATT